TTCACAGAAATTGCGATCTTTATCAAAATATGAATGAATGTATTCAAAAGCAACTTGGATGAGTGATTGAAATGATTGTTGTAATTCTTCAGCTTTATTCTTATCAGAATCTTTAAATAGTTGAGTATCGTATGTGCTTTATCGCCAAAATAATGATCATCTAATCGTTGTTCAAATATTTTTTAATCTAATCAGAAATAATTCGATAAAGATCAATAGCTGTTATATGTTCATCTGAGTACTTTGTAAAGTAAAAAGTGAAATTCGGAAAAAATTCGGAAAACAATCCCAATTCGGAAGAATTCGGAAATTCGGAGCACCGTCGGAAAAAAAGTCAAAATTCGGAATTTTTCCTGTCATTTCGGAAGATCTGGTAACCCTGGTCAGAACCCCTTTTCCGTGATATCTGCCATTCTTATATTTACCCTAGTAGCGCGATCCATCGGCATATGTGTGGTCGATTTTTCAGCTCATGCTATGATCTGCAGTACTTCCTACAAAGAAAAATATGTCTCTGATAGACTAAACGAAATGAAGCAGATCTCTGCCGAACTGAAAGGAACACTGAAGGACTAAAAACCCTTAGGAGCTGTAGCGATTCGTGTGTTTGAAGTCACCATTTCCTGTGAGTTGAAATACTAGCAGTTAAGTTTTCTGCCCTATAGTAGTATGAATCGCTAGATTGAATTTGTTGAAGAATAAACGCTGCACAGGATAAAAGAAAGGTATATATACGAAGAACCGTTTTTTCTCTTGTTTGGCTTGTTCTTAAGTGATATCTGCTCTTCTTTCTATCTTCATTTCGTTATCTTGCAAATATTCTGTTTTGGTGCAAAGAAACTGGTGTAAGATCGAGATTACCCATTCCTATCTTATGCGTCCCTCACTTAAAAAAACACTTTCTTTCTTTCTTTCTCTTGCGCCGACTGATCTAACTGTGTGCGTTAAACGTCATCATGAGTAGAGATATCAGGGTTGCCGTCCCTTTGGAACGGAAGTCCAAGGAGCGACGACACAGAACAATTCATTTCTTCCGGCTTCCGAATATGTTGAGATCTTTACACATATTTTGTCTTTCATTTTGAGGCAATTCATTATGGATTCACGGATTCCCGCAACGACAACCAAAACAGGATTCCTAAGAATGAAAAACGTGGTTATGGGTGAACCCAGGTTACGTGAATACTAATACTCACACCCACACCCACCCTGATTTACAAAGTACATTGACTAAAACTGTTTTCAGTTTTGTGAAGCCAATGCAAGAATTTGATATTAACTCTGAATGTAAATGTATTGCCTGTCCAAAACGAATACGTAAACATTTAAGTGTCGATATAACACTACGGTAAGTTTTTGAATATATAAAAATGCACAATATGGGATGTCATTAAGATAAGGCTTGGAATTCGGATTTTAATAATTTTATGACCGAAAATGTATAAGTTCATAAAACAATAGCTTCTAGAAACAAAAGATAACTAAAAATAAATGTGTGCTATGACGACGGAACAACATGAATAACTTTGTTTACCTTATAAATACATAAAACTACCACAGGAACCATATTAAAAACTCAATTGTTCGATTTGTCAAAGTCTTGTGAGAATCTAGTCTTTTGTAAAAATACTTTAGAAGATTTAAATCTTTGTTATATAATTAGATGTTTTGCATAGATCCAATATATTGAACCATTAGAAACTCTTCTTGTATAACAACTTCATTTTTCTTTTTCTTTTTCAATTATGGAACTTATTACTATCGACATTTTCGAAATCTATTTAGTAAAATCAACAATCAATTTCCGAATTATATTGAATCCTTCACAAATGATTCTATAGTTTCTTGTGGTGCTAATCTTGGTCCTGACGAGCCTCACAACTATTCTGACGATTATATTATTGACGACCATTGTCCGGTTATTGATGTGACAACGAATACTACTAATATTGAGTAAGAATCCTGTTATTTTTTTTTAAACATTCATATCTAAAATATATGAGTTTAGGAAGCGATATATATGTCAAGCACCACGCACCGTATATATGCAACATTTAAAGTATGTCTCACCTTTTCTGATCATCAGCGTTGAAAATGATGAGCCACTAATGGTGGAACTGTCTGATCCATTATATATTGGTTCACACGAGTAACTTAATCCACCTTAGCTCACAAATTTCTCGATAATTTCTATGTTTAGATACCATTTGTCGGGCGGCTTTAATAACATGGAAAGTCACTTCACCGCAATAATTAAAACAAATGACGGCACTTGTGTTCGTTTTAATGATATACATTCAAAAGGATGTTTCCCACACGATGGACTGGTAAGAGTCATTTTTGTTGTATATACTTTGCGCGTTTAGGAGTTTTTCCTGACGATAACCTAATACTATTCGATTTTATGTGTATGTATAGTTTTACTATTGTTCCATATATATAACTACTGTTCTTGTTCTCATTGCTGATATTTCATGCTACTTATTGTAACTCTTGTGCATACTTTTTATACATAAACTGATTGAAACTTAAGGCTGATTACTTTTTTGTTCTTTTAACTTCATTTTTTGATATTGTTATCGTTTATCAAAATCATTGCTTTATATGAATATTGTTTTCTACAAAGCTTTTACACTATTATTATGTCTACAATATACTTTATGTTAGCTACTCACTCTATCGAAGCTTTTGATTTTCTTCGGTGAAGAAAATAAACATATGACTATATTAATCAATCCGCATTATCATGTGATTCAGAAAGCATCACGAAATCTGAACTGTTCAGCTTCATCAACATTGTTCATCGCTTTAAAACAAAAAGACGAATAAAATCCATGAATACTATGTGAGAAGCTCTCATAAAATTACAAATTCCAAAAAAAGCTTTGTACATTTCACCGATTTCATAGATATCCTCTAAAGTTTCTAACAATTAATGGGCCGCATTAGGGAAGCAGATTCTCTAGACGACCAGTTTTTGTAGCACCGAAACCCTCCATCACCAGATAGATACATTACGAATAATCTAACCTCCGGCATTGATAGACTGAAAATACATATTTCCATAGTAAAAATTGCTAAATAAGGCGAACACAATCGCTTCGTGCCGCAGCGCTGATGAAAATCGTGAGAAAAATCCTCCACCAAACAAATTTCGTTTCAATACCTACTGATACATAAAAGCAAAATTTTCATGAATCCTTTCCCTTACAACAGACAATGCACAACTTTGAAACACACCAACGTGAGCTTCCTCCCAAAACAAGGCAGAACGTCCCAATATGTTGTGCAATACCGCCATTTTTCATCCCGTCTTTCCTCGAATATAATACCCTTCGACAGTGACTGAACTCTTCAATACAAGTCAATTGAATAGAAAGTTAACACAGCTCGTAGAGCGAATTTGGACAAGATTTATATCCTAGATCTGGTGCCGGGGCCAAAACTTCGGGCATAACCCCTTCTTTTGCCCAATAACACCATTTCAAAATACCACCATTGGATAGAGAATTAAAATCTGCACCCAACACACTTGATTAGAGAGTTAACACAAGTCGTAGAGCGAATCCGGACAAGAATTATTCCGAAAAGGAGGGCCTCAGACCCTGTATTTGGGGTATAACACCCCATTTTTGCCCGACAACATCGTTTGAAAATAGTACCATTCGATAGAGAATTAAATTCTGCATTCAACACACTTAATTAGAAAGTTAACACAAGTCGTAGAGCGAATCCGGACAAGAATTACTCTCAAAATAGGGTCTCAGACTGAGTATTTGGGGTATAACCCCCTGTTTTTGCCCGATAACACCGTTTGAAAATAGTACCATTCGATAGAGAATTAAATTGTGCATCCAACACACTTAATTAGAAAGTTAACACAAGTCGTAGAGCGAATCCGGACAAGAAATGCATGATATTTGTTATTGGTACACAGGAGAAAAGTCAGTATTTCGCGTAAAAATAGTGGTTTTTGCCCGATGACTCCCCCTTGAAAATAGTACCATTCGATAGAGCATTAAATTCTGCACCCAACACAAGCACTTAGAGAGTTAACACAGGTAAGAAAGCGAATCGGGACAAGAAATACTCGAATCTGATGCTAACTTAATTTACGTTAAAAGAAATTAAGTCATTCTTACAAAAGTACGATTGTATATCGAAGAATGGAGACTAACGAATGAAGATCGGTAACATTCGTACAAACATACGACCTTGCTATAGTCACCATTGATGCAAGATATTGTATGAATATAGGATCGTCTGAGTTCAATATCTATGTCGATAAAAGAGAGAAGAAAAAGAAATGTAGATAACGATCATCTGTCGTTTGTAAAAAATGAAATAAGTGTGAATATAGTAGTTACGGTCATGCAGGTTATTTCACTCGCTTGTTCCGCCGTCTGTTCTGTTCGAGGAAAGAGAAAAAAATCACACAACTCGCATAACCGTATCGGCTGGAACAAAAAGGAAAATATGATATGATCACTTATCTAATACATCCTGTTTTTTATATCGAACAACAGAAGTGATTGTGTACAAATGAAATTGTTACAATTTTTGTATATGTTTCTTTTAATTGTACTTACGCTCATAAGACAATCTTTTGTTAAATTAAACTTATTGAATTGTGTTGCGTGTCGCATTTTGATTCAATACGCGATCTGAAAAGCGAAATTAATACTACCATGAACTTCTTTTTTATATTTCGAATCAATTATTTGAAAGCAAATATTGATATGTGTTCTAAGCCATCAACTTGACGAACTTGATAAGAAAGATGAAGATGTACGTGTAGAGAAAATATTTCGATATATGGGTCATGCACATTCGAAGCTGTGTGACAATAAAAATCAAGATATCCAGTAACTAATATCTCTTCCTTTCTTTAAGATGAATATAAGAGTTTAATAGCTAATGAACAAATGACAAAATGGGAAAATAGAAGAATTGGTAAATGATTGACCATTATAGGTACTCCGACATGATGTACGAAAATGCGAGAATTTTTGCTTTCTACCGTGATGCCATTGTAATTGATTCAAGAAAAACGACTTTCATGTTACGAGGAATAAACAAATGTTGAAGTTTATTGTCAATTTCCTGTATTATCTTTTTGTCTACATGTGAATACAATTGATTTATTCAATATACAATATGTCTCAAACACATTAGGTGCACGAATTTATAAATGATCTATCTGAGATAATTGAATATTCGAAGTAAAGACAAACCGTATCCCATTCACAACTGATTCTTTACCACCATTTGATATCCGTATAGCTTTTCGAACTGCTTTAAGGTAACTATTATGTGTGCGAGGTGTAAGATCATTATTTTATATGGAAAAGAACTTTACTGTATTCTAGATTCCAGATTCCTAGAACATAAAAAATCAAGCTTATTAAAAAAGAATACTATAGAGATGTTAGTTTTGAAAAAACCTACCACAAGAAATCGTTGTTGCTTAAAAAGTAAATCTTAAAAACAGTTGCGTATTTCTTTTAAAAAATCATTTTTGTTCTGTTATATCAAACGAAAGTAAAAAATTGAATGTCTTTTCTGCTTAGGGTGGGGTGTGGGTGGGTGGGTGTGGGTGTGGATGCAAAAAGGTATCAGCTATACCCACACTCACACCCACACTCACACCCACACCCACATCCACCACACCCACACCTACCCACACCCACACCTACCCACACCCACATCCACCACACCCACACCCACCCACACCCACACCCTTTTTAAACATACAGTAAAAATGTAATATCTCGGCAGTAATAAGCTAGCGGGACGAACTTTTTTCAGAGTATTTATAGATCATTAGGACCCACATGATGCGCATACTCTCGACTCTAAAGCGATGTGACAGTTGGGAATGTTCCCTCGTAAGAAATACCACAAAAATAAAACAAAAGCTACTATGATTCCCACTAGTGAAAAAGTCGAAGCTACCTGATGAAGATCCCTTAAGTAAGGATCGAAACGCGCCGTAGTTTGCTTGACTCACCACTACATTACCGATATCTAATATAATGACGTTATTGTCATCGAAATTCGTAGATCAAGTATCTATATATTTCACTTATTTATGATCTGTGGATCGTTCGAACAGCTTTATGTATTTATAAAAACTCGAAACTACGTGATGAAGATCCCTTCAGCAAGGATCGAAAAGCGACGCAGTTTGCTTGACTCACACTCACCCTCCACTAAAGTCTACATCGATTGTATGAAATTTCAAACTGTGTAACGAGTTATGTGTGCGTCTTTGAATAGGATCAGAGAGCTGAATCATATACGTTCATTTTTTTCGTCGTCACCTACTAATTGCATCAAATAAAAGTCGTGAGGAAGGTAAATAAAGGCTTCACCTATGATTTCTTTTCTTTAGTGGCCTGCTTTTTTATCAGACTAAAAAGATGATGTATACATCAGCAATTCATGTAGTAGAGGAAAGGTATAAACGTGTTTCTCGACTGTTTATATATAGTTTCTCACTGAGTCTTATGTTATTACAAAAAAAAGACGATCTGTGCATTGAGCATTACTAGATTAAAGGAGATAAAAAACACTGCGCTTCTTCATGTTTAATTTAATTTTTCGTATTTGTTTAGATTCACAAACTTAATATTTAGTTTTTCTTCATCTACTTGGATTTTTGGTGGGTATTAGCTAACAGTACGTATGATTATACTATTTAAATTTAGCCTATTTTAGCCTATGAAATTTACATGGAAACTTACAATATCAGAACCCATTGTACTAATGGGAGCTATAATTCTAAAGCTTGGCTTTTTTTAGTTGAGGATATGAGTGTGAATATGGGCGGTGAATCAAACATCCATACTTTACCTATCCTCGCCCATCTTCACCTTTACGCACTGTTCAGTTTTCGGGTCGCCCAGGTCGAGCATTGCGACGACCAGATACGACCGTATACGGCCGTTTACGACGCCGTATTTCTATGCACCGTATTACGGCCGTATATCGCCGTGTCGTATACGGCGAAATACGGCGGCTGTATACGACACAGAAAACGCCGTAAAACGAAACGCAGCACTTTCCATTAGAAACTAATAAATTAGACACACAACTGCTTCATTTTATGCCATCGAAGAAAAAGGCCTTTAAAGGCCTTTAAAGACATTTTTTAGAAAAACGCAGATTTCTCAGTAGAAACTCATTAAAACAAAGCATAAACTTTGGAAAAGGCCTTAAAATGCCATTTCCTATTAGATCTCATGGTTTTTCCTGAAGAAATCATGTTATTTTAAGAAATTCAAGAAAAAGGCCTTTAAAGGCATTTTTCAGAAGAACTCAGATTTCTTTAGAGAAATTAAGTATAACGAAGAAGATAGTGAGGAAAATGCCTTGAAATGGCTTTTTCTATAGGAATGCAGGCGTTTGGTTGAAGAAATCATGTGATATAAAAGTTTAATAGCGTTTATTAAAAAAAATTTGGCTTAAGAGGGATTTGTGAAGGATTTTTACCTCCAGATGAGAAATTTGTTACCTACACAGGTGAGAGTTGGTAGGTGTAGGTGCTTCTATGGGGTTATAGTATCTTGTTGTGATTCATAGATGCTGAAAGAATAGGTGAAGGGGTTTTGTATTTGATGAGCGCCTTTCTTGAGGATTTCTAAGCTTACTTATTCGAATCTTTGCCACGAGCGAAATGAAGTGAGACTTGCGGTGGCAGTCATATATATAGGGTGGGTCCGTCCGGTTGTGATTAGTCCGTCCGCGATGTGTGACGTGTTATCTAATGGCACTGATAAGAGTGTTATTTGAGCATTTGTATTAAAGAAAATGCCGATGCTTTCGCATTAATATTAATGAATAAGCCTAATGCTTTAGCATTTTTGGAAAGCTTAGGACTCATGAAGACCCATCCAAAGAAGGGGCACTTTGGATCCATGAAGAGCTATCCAAGGGGATACTGAGGGCTCTCTAAGGGCTGCTCAAGGAATAAGTTATGAAGGCATATGAAAGGGCGTACTTAAGGCTCATCGAGTCCTATCTAAGGAGGGTACCTATGGGCCTCCATGATCTGCACAGGAAAGTACTTAAGACTCATGAAGGCCTATCCAGGGAGACAATTAGCATTCATCAAGGCGCAGCCAAGAGGGGGGTACTTAAGATTCATCAAGGGCTATCCTAGAAGGCACTTAGGACTCCTTAAGTTCTATCTGGGGAATACTTATGATTTATGAAGGACTATTCAACGGTGTACTTAAAACTCATCAAGTCCTATTCCAGAAGAGTATCTACATGTCTTCAAGATCTGCTTAGAGAGGTACTTATGACTCATCAAGGTCTACCCCGAAGAACCTAAGATTATCAAGGCCTATCCAGGAATGGTACTTATAGATCTTGAAGGCCTACTCGGGGAGGCAATTATGGCTTTTCATGGGTTGTCCAGGAATGGAATTTATAAGTCTTCAAGGGCTATCCAGGACACCAATAACTTCTCTAGCGCGAGCGAGGAGTGGTGTTTACCGTAGATCTGATTTAGAACACGAATTAATGGAAAGGAGGCTATATCGCTTCATTTATCTCTTGATATTTTTGAAAAAGCGTTATTAGGGAATGGTGAGTTGGTTAATAGACTGTGTTAACGAATGCCTTGATAATTAGTACTAATTTGAAGTTTTTTATTTACCACCTCGGTTGAAATTGGAGAATGAGATGATTAACATTAAAGAAGTGCCACTGAATTCGATATTTTTCTTGTACAAAAGCTTTTTTGAAAATGCCTTTCTTCTGTGAAGTTCGGGTAGAGCCTGCGAGAGTAGATAAATCAGTTGACCCAAGGTATCCATTGGCTTAATTAGATATCAGGAAGGGTTAGCTCGGCTATTTTATGGACACAGTACGCATCTGTTAGGGCCATATGATGGAAAAATTCTATGAACTCCAACCTGTCCAAAAAAACTGCGTGCACCGTCCAGACAAGAAAGGTGAAAAGCCCTTTTGAGGTCTGATTGATCGAAATTTTTGTACCAGCGAATCAGACTTGGAGGTACTGTTGCTCTGCTTCAGGATTACCAAAACATTGTGTTGTTCTCGTTAATACGGTGGTAGCAGAGAATCAGTTTTTTTTCCAACAAAAAACGGAATACAACAGTGTCTTCTACCGATGAATTACTTAATCACTTAAAGCCGTCGACACATTGGAAGATCCCAAGTCTTCTATTTTGTGTTATCGTTCACAAGTTGCAAGGGAGGTCTTCTAGTATATCCCTTAAAAAAGTCATCTTTTTTGCTAACCCCAACAATATAATTTTTGTAAAAATCATTTTATGCTGGTTATGTTGTTACTAAACGTTTACTTCAATTTGCTACGCTAGTTCAGTTAACAAAAACCGCCTACGTTCTATTACTAAAGAACATTTCACAAAACAAGTATCTTAATTATAAAATGTGCTAAACCACACGAAATGCGATTTATTTATACTTCATAGTAGGAACATTTTTCACAGGACAAAAGAACTCATTCATAAAATAACTCGCCCATAAAATGCTCTTATTTCATACGATTAATTAGAAAAAAATTAAGGTTTGAGTTTTTCAGCATATTCTTCGAGATCAGCCATTTGTATTGAGTTTCGGTTATTGAAACTGTAATTTGTTCATCTCTTTTTGAATCAGATTCTTGATCAGTGTGATCATGATCGATATTTAATCACAGCAGATAAGAATTTGAACTTAGATCATTATCGATAAGAGATGTTCTATGTTTATTCAGTTATGAAGACAATCATATAGTGAAGTGTTAGTGAGAAGAGAAGAGCAGAATGTAAATGAAAAATAACTGAACTTGATAATAACAGGCATTGTTTTTCACATGTCATATGTATACGCCAGTTAATTACATTTCACATTATTCAAGTACGGACTCCCTTGAACGACAGAAAGAGCAGGAAAATATTTTTGAAACGAAGATTAGAAATACAC